ATGGTTGTGGAATAGTTTTTTTTGGAGGGGGATTTGAATTGGCACCGACCACCAATGGTTGTGGAATAGTTTTTTTTTTGAGGGGGATTTGAATTTGGCACACCGACCACCAATGGTTGTGGAATAGTTTTTTTTGGAGGGGGATTTGAATTGGCACCGACCACCAATGGTTGTGGAATAGTTTTTTTTGGAGGGGGATTTGAATTGGCACGACCACCAATGGTTGTGGAATTGTTTTTTTTTGGGGGGGGGGATTTGAATTGGCACTGACCACCAATGGTTGTGGAATAGTTTTTTTTTGGAGGGGGATTTGAATTGGCACTGACCACCAATGGTTGTGGAATAGTTTTTTTTGGGGGGGGATTTGAATTGGCACCGACCACCAATGGTTGTGGAATAGTTTTTTTTTGGGGGGGGGATTTGAATTGGCACTGACCACCAATGGTTGTGGAATAGTTTTATTTTGGAGGGGGATTTGAATTGGCACCGACCACCAATGGTTGTGGAATAGTTTTTTTTGGAGGGGGATTTGAATTGGCACTGACCACCAATGGTTGTGGAATTGTTTTATTTTGGGGGGGGGGATTTGAATTGGCACTGACCACCAATGGTTGTGGAATAGTTTTTTTTGGAGGGGGATTTGAATTGGCACCGACCACCAATGGTTGTGGAATAGTTTTTTTTGGAGGGGGATTTGAATTGGCACCGACCACCAATGGTTGTGGAATATTTTTTTTGGAGGGGGATTTGAATTGGCACCGACCACCCAATGGTTGTGGAATAGTTTTTTTTTGGAGGGGGATTTGAATTGGCACCGACCACCAATGGTTGTGGAATAGTTTTTTTTGGGGGGGATTTGAATTGGCATCGACCACCAATGGTTGTGGAATAGTTTTTTTTTGGGGGGGGATTTGAATTGGCATCGACCACCAATGGTTGTGGAATAGTTTTTTTTGGAGGGGGATTTGAATTGGCACTGACCACCAATGGTTGTGGAATAGTTTTTTTTGGAGGGGGATTTGAATTGGCACCGACCACCAATGGTTGTGGAATAGTTTTTTTTGGAGGGGGATTTGAATTGGCACCGACCACCAATGGTTGTGGAATAGTTTTTTTTGGAGGGGATTTGAATTGGCACGACCACCAATGGTTGTGGAATTGTTTGTGAATTTTTTTTTGGAGGGGGATTTGAATTGGCACTGACCACCAATGGTTGTGGAATTTTTTTTTTTGTAAGGTAGATTGGCTTTAAATTGCTATTGATTTTGATGCTGATGATAATACCAAAGTCTGTGGGATAATTTTTTTTTATGTTTGTGTTTTGTTTTTGTTTTTTTTTTAATTAAAAAAAAATATTACAAAACAGTGGTTATTAAATACCACCAAAACAAAGTTCTACCCATCTGAAAAAAAAAAAAAATGATATAAAATTAATTTTGCTACGGTGTTGCGTAAATGTCAAATTATCATAGTGATATATCAATCTGGTAATGATCGGGGAGGGGTATATACAGACTAGTACTCAAGTGGCTGACCATTGATCTGACGTAATGAGTAACACAGAGGGCTGTAGGGTAGTCAATAAACTGGAGGCTTTTATTCTGTTGTAGTAAGTGTTATCTATGATGTTTCTTGGTGTCATTGTATTTATAACATAGTTTTTTTTTTTTTGGGGGGGGATTTATCTATTTTGTTGCACAGCCAGGCCATTCTGAACAGTAGCAATGAGACAAATTTGAGACAGATTTATTAACCTATTTCATGAATTGCTCCTGTAGCTGCTTTCAGGTAGCGCTGCGACAAAATAAAACCTGCCCTGACCACTTCTTAATTGTGCGTCTGTTTTTAGTAAAAAATCTCCTCTCCAGTGGTAAATCTATTGCGGTATTTAAATTTGCAGACCTGTGCACATTTGTCACGGCTGGCTGCCTAGGATTACAGACGAAAGGAGTTAAAATACACATAAAAATAAAAACTGCCACCAGGCAGCCTGATTTGCGTCTACATTTGACATGACGTTGTTTGATAAATTGTCCTTCACAGCGTATTTGACCATTGTAGATAGGTGCTTTCTTTGTACGTAGTCAGAGGGTTGTTTTTTTTTTTGTTTTTTTTTTTTTTTCTTTTTCAGCACGCTGGGCACATTATATTAAATGTTTGTGGTTTGAAAGCAATTAGGAATGACAGTGCTTTCCTCTGTACTCACACACTGCAGGGAAGGCTCCCCCCCAGTGTCCCTCGGTTAGATGTTAATTGGGGACACAGGCATGGAGATATAAATAGCACTTTCTGGACTGGATATTTGGAAAGAAAACACTAAAGGAGGAGGAATCATTTTTGATCTGGGATCCCACAAGAAGTGGTCGTGCGTACCGTACGCCAGCAATCGTTATGTCTCTGTATCAGTGCACACGATGAGCCGAGTCACCTTGTCCCATAGAGGGAAATGCTTTCCTATGGGCGTCTGTTGAAGGTCACACATCTTCCCATTGATCTCACAATGTTTGTTAATTACTTTGTCACTGATGTGGTGAAGGATAATTAAACAGCTCTGTTTATATCTTCATGCATAATTATGAGCCGAGCACTGCCACTCGCAGCCAACCAGCAGACAGCCAAGCCAACAGTCTGACCGCCTAAACACTCCGAGACAGAGACTGCCGGCTGGCTGCTGTCTGCATGGCTGTCATGGCAAACACAAGAGTACGGGGAGAAGGTGCAATACCGGGGCTACAATGGCATTTCCATCGAATGAAAACTATATATTATCCCAGTTTATTAATTCTAGGCTACTGTGTTTAATTAATACTAGCAAAAGCTGAGCCCCTATGAAACTCAAGAAAGAGCTTGATAGAGATAAATGTATAGAAGGGAAAGAATAACATTGTTCCAGTGCTAATTAACTTCTGCTGTAAGACAACTGGCAAATTTGTCCCATAATTCTTTCAAGTCTTCTTATCCCCATTCATGTCCGGTAATACCGTAACAAGACAAAAGATGAATGGGAGAAAGTGAACGAGTGTGGTAGATGTATTGGTTGCCTGAATAGACAAGTTTGGTGATACCTGGAAGCAAGAGAGCAACTCCTTTAGTCTACAGCTAACATACATTGAGAGGCTATCCAAATAAGGAGGCTGATTTACTAAAGGCAAATAGGCTCTTCCTTCTGCTCATTTGGTATTCATAAAGGCAAATAGGCCGTTGACTTTGCAAGGCATCCCCAGAGCTTGGCGAATGTAGTGAAATTTCTCATTGTAAAGAATATCAAATCACTTGAAAGAAAAAAAATGCAATTTTTGCTTGCGCATGATTGGATGATGGAATTCATCGCCAAACTCTGGACTAAAGAGAAAATTCTCCTGGAATTTTCCCCAGTGTATGAGTAACATGATTGGATGATGGAAGTCATCTCATATACTGGACTAAGAGAAAATTCTCCTGGAATTTTCCCCAGATTTTGGCGAATGTAGTGAAATTTCTCTTTGTAAAGAATACCAAATCACTTGAAAGTCTTCTTAAAAAAGGCTATTTTTGCTTGCTCATGATTGTGATGATGGAGAGTCATCACCAAACTCTGGGGAAAATTCCAGGAGAATTTTCTCTTAGTCCAGTAACATATTGAGTAAAAAACATGATTTGGATGCAAATGGAAGTCATCTCATACACTGGACTAAGGAAAATTCTCCTGGAATTTGCAAGGCATCCCCAGAGTTTGGCGAATGTAGTGAAATTTCTCTCATTGTAAAGAATACCAAATCACTTGAAAGAAAAAAAATGCCATTTTTATTGGCCATTGGAATCAATTGCAAACTCTGGACTAAAATTCTCCTGGAATTTTTGTATGGTAAATGATTGGATGATGGAAGTCATCTCATACACTGGACTAAGAGAAAATTCTCCTGGAATTTTCCCCAGAGTTTGGCGAATGTAGTGAAATTTCTCTTTGTAAAGAATACCAAATCACTTGAAAGAAAAAAAAAAAAGGCTATTTTTGCTTGCGCATGATTGGATGATGGAAGTCATCACCAAACTCTGGGGAAAATTCCAGGAGAAATTTTCTCTTAGTCCAGTGTATGAGTAACATGATTGGATGATGGAAGTCATCTCATACACTGGACTAAGAGAAAATTCTCCTGGAATTTTCCCCAGAGTTTGGCGAATGTAGTGAAATTTCTCTTTGTAAAGAATACCAAATCACTTGAAAGAAAAAAAGGCCATTTTTGCTTGCGCATGATTGGATGATGGAAGTCATCTCATACACTGGCTAAGAGAAAATTCTCCTGGAATTTTCCCCAGAGTTTGGCGAATGTAGTGAAATTTCTCTTTGTAAAGAATACCAAATCATTTGAAAGAAAAAAAGGCCATTCTTTCTTGCGCAAGATTGGATGATGGAAGTCATCTCATACACTGGACTAAGAGAAAATTCTCCTGGAATTTTCCCCAGACCTTGGTGAATGTAGTGAAATTTCTCTTTGTAAAGAATACCAAATCACTTGAAAGAAAAAAAAAAGGCCATTTTTGCTTGCGCACGATTGGATGATGGAAGTCATCTCATACACTGGACTAAGAGAAAATTCTCCTGGAATTTTCCCCAGAGTTTGGCGAATGTAGTGAAATTTCTCTTTGTAAAGAATACCAAATCATGTGCAAAAAAAAAAAAAAAAGCATTCTTGCTAGCACATGATTGAATGATGGAAGTCACCTCATTCACAGGCTAAGAGGAAATTCCCCTGCAAAGTAAAAATACCCATACAAAGTGTGAACAGTCTTTGCCTTTAGTAAATCAACCCCGACGTGTACAAAAGCATTATTATCTATAAGGAAATGAATTCAAAGTTCCACAGCACATGAAAAAAGGAAGGAGGAAAGTGCTGTGCAAAGATGTGTTCTCTAATAATAAATATGCTGTAGATCTACAAAGTAAAAACCTATTTCTGATTGTTGAAGTAATCTAGGGTTCGCAGTTGTATTGGCATTTAAAGACTGATAGTGAAACTCACCTGGAGGTGCTCCTGGGGCAATTTTTGCAGCTGTCTCTGGTTCCTTGGAGACAGTCCTATCAGGTTCTCTCTCCTCCAAGTACCTGCTGGTTTGGGAGGTCCTGGTCTCCTCAGTGTTGTCTTCTTCATCACTGCACCCCTTGGGCTGTACCATGTAGACACCTTCAGGGGGAAGCTCAGCCAAGCCTATTCTCTTATAGTCTTTAGTCGGCCTTTCGAGGGGTTCTTCTGTGTACTCCCCATTGACCCATTTCTCTATCACCTCCCTACGGCGTTTATCTTCCTCTGCACGTTGATCAGAGGTGAGGCTGTCGGTGGGATCCACTTCTCGTTTCTTTTCCCCTTCTCTTTCACTGCTTTCCAGTGGTCCAGGTTCAGCATCTCCTAGATCTGACCCATGTTCTGATACAACCTGCCGGCTTAGTTTGGCACAGATAGCATTTAGTTTCAGGCCGCCTTTGCGTTTGGCAGCCATCTTCGGCTTTCCTGAGGCTGTGTCAGTGCAAACACTTCTTTCAGCTGCAGATAGAGAAAAAAGGAAAAAACAGAAATTTATCAATATTGTACTTTGACATTTAATAGAGGTAACATGCCAAGTGCACAGCGTGGATTGATCATATAAACCAGAGTGAACATTGTGTGCTTGTTTAACTGGCATTCATTTAGCAGGAGAGATGAGGCTCTAGTAACAGTTGAACAACAGGTGGAGAACTCTTAAATTGAGTTAGACTTTATAGGTCTTTACTGAGAAGACACAAGGCACACTGTTGTTCTTGGGTAATAATATAATATATTTCAACCGCTTTGTACATAAGTATTGATGGATTAAAGTATTTCCAAAGCTTTCACTGAAAAAAAAAAAAAAAGTATTTCTAATACCAAAACGTTTTTAAAAATAATGGCTAGAGCAGGGGCGGACTGACAACTCATGGGGCCCCCGGGCAACTGGGGATCATGGGGCCCCTGTGTCCTTGCCCAAACTCAAAAAAGCCTATGAAAAAGGTACCAGGGGCATCTCATGGGGCCCCCTACTGACCCCGGGCCCTCGGGCAGTGCCCCAAATGGTCAGTCCACCCCTGGGCTAGAGTAGGGGAGGGTTAAATCAAATCTAGTTTTTTCCAACCATGTCTCGTTTTCTCCCTGTACTGTAGATTCAACTGAAAGTAAAAGGATATAATTCCAACGTGAGGGAAATGCCTTCTTAGACAGTTATCACTGTCCCTATTGGAAGATTTACCTTCTGTTCCTGTGTTGATGACAACTCATAAGTTTGGATTAACCCTCACTTTAATTTCCGGTCATAACAGTGATCTGGACAACTAGAGAGAATGCATCTCCCGAATGGAGACACAGACAGCAAAAAACCTGACAGTGGTACTACCCCCCCCCCCCCCCCCCCCCCCATCCAAACCCCCAAAATGTTTTAGGTAAACTGTACCAAGGAGCTATAATCTATATAGCTTCTGAGCCTCATAAAATCAACATGTGGCCAGACTATGGACATACAGTATTTACAAATTCCTAACAAGCAAGAAATGTGCTGTAAAACATGCCCTCACTGACCTCTTAGGCTGTGAGCACTGTGAAACAAATAATTCTCAACATTTACAGCACTAAAGTCCTATGAGTCACTCTCTCAGTTGCTGATATGTTAAAGAGAATGACTTTAAGCGACTTCACATCACTCCACAGTGTCTGCAGCTACAAAGGTCAGTGAGGGCTCATTTACTGCTTTTCAAAGATATACAGGAACTTGAATGCCCATAATCTGGGCTGTAGGTTCACCTTAAGCCTTTATGAGTGAGTGGGGTCCACATATGCATCAGGGTATTTGTTCATATATAAACTGCCAAGGGCAATTTATTTCCAGCTCATTGAGTATAGAATAAAAGTAAATGAAAAGCTTTGACCACTTTGGATCTTCAGTTAAAATGTTCATGACTTAAAATCCACACATTTCACACCAAAAATTTGACGGGTTATATACTGAAGCAAAAAAAAAAAAGTACATTTTGTTCTAACTTTTCCTACTACCTGCACTGTTCAACAAAGATTCATGTCTTGCCAGCACTTTTTACTCTTCTTCCACTTAAAGGCCATGTAAAAAGTGTGAGATAAAAAACCAGTAAACTCTTGTCCAGTGGTGAGCATTTATAGGGCCGGCATTCTTTCTAATACCTCTACTTGGGTCGGACCAACATACGTAAGTCGAAGATCTATGGCACTTAGGCAGAGGGACCTAGCAAACGTTAGGACCGAATGTAAATCAAATGGAGGTTTACATTTGTTTCTTTATTTGCAGTAATGGTTTACAGTTTATAAATTAGACTGTACTATTGATATTGGTGGAATATTGGGTCGTAAAGAAGATAAGTTGGCGCCAAGGTTTTCTACCGCAGTCCGCAAGCAGTTAACTGGCTCCTCCCGGCAGCCACTGGTTAAACGAGCCTAGCTTGTTCTTCCATCGTTAAAATAAACATCCCTCTTTATTTAATTCAGCCCAAACAAAAATTCTTTTATTTTACATCAATATAAGGAAGACATTCATAAAGTCGGCCTGTCAAACTGAACTTTTTCATCTTTTCCCCAGCACAAACTTACCAACTGGTCTATTTACACACACAACTTCCTCTTAAAACAATGCCAGAACAATTTAATTGACTCATGGTTGGCCTTCCTAAAGAGGCACAAAGGAAGGATGTGTTATAAGACAGCTCCATTAGGATTTCTTTCACAGCTGCTGTCTTATTCCACTCATTACCCAGAGTGTCTATATATCTGACAATCAAACAGAACTATGGTGGACTTGGGGTGGGCTGTGTCTCCATTGGGGTTGCATGTGCATGGGTGATCACACCGTCCATATATAAAGGATTTTAAATATGGTTTACAAAGGATTTTGAGGCTTTTGACAGTCTACCGTTCAATTCTGCTTTAACCTCCTTTTAGTTTTCAAGAGTCTATGTTGGCTGAATTAAATGAAGATACTAAAGAAAATGTATTGGCAATTAGAACACCACAGTCTTCAAGCCCTGTGTCCACTGGACACAGACTGGACTGGATGGAAGCCCATCCAGTGAAACCCATGTGTATGTCACTTATCCATATGTCAGTCCTATGTAAAAATAATTCATGTTCCTATCTGATGAAGAAGGGACCCCCTTCGAAACACGTCAGCCTTACTTTAAGAGTCTACCCTTGTGATGTGACTGGCACTGGTTCTACACTCCTAAAGTTCCTTTGAGGACCTATATGCTTGATTTGTGAGTATTATTCTCAATTTAAATAAAATTACAGTTTACTGAGGTAATGCGCAAGGTTGGTGCGCTTTTTTTGTTTCACTTTGCATTACTGGTCGGGCTTCCCCAGCCTTGTTTAGAGCCGCACAACCCTATATGCATTGGTGGTCGAATTTTCTCCAGTTCTGTTTCCATCCATCCACCCTTGCTCTGGGTCATAGAGCGCAGGAGAGCTTGTTTCTGTTTCCACTGGACACAGACTGGACTGGATGGAAGCCCATCCAGTGAAACCCATGTGTATGTCACTTATCCATATGTCAGTCCTATGTAAAAATAATTCATGTTCCTATCTGATGAAGGGCCCCCCCTTCGAAACGCGTCAGCCTTACTTTAAGAGTCTACCCTTGTGATGTGACTGGCACTGGTTCTACACTCCTAAAGTTCCTTTGAGGACCTATATGCTTGATTTACTTCGTTGTTTGTGAGTATAATTCTCAATTTAATAAAATTACAGTTTACTGAGGTAATGCGCAAGGTTGGTGCGCTTTTTTTGTTTCACTTTGCGTTACTGGTCGGGCTTCCCCAGCCTTGTTTAGAGCCGCACAACCTCCTATGCATTGGTGGTCGAATTTTCTCAAGTTCTGTTTCCATCCATCCACCCTTGCTCTGGGTCGTAGAGCGCAGGAGAGCTTGTTTCTGTTTTCACTGGACACAGACTGGACTGGTCCACTAGACTGGATGGAAGTCCATCCAGTGAAACCCATGTGTATGTCACTTATCCATATGTCAGTCCTATGTAAAAATAATTCATGTCCTTATTTAACAATGCAAATTATATAATGTGCGAGGCATATTTGAAATCTACATGGTGCACGTTGGGCTTTATAAAAAAAAAAACAAAAAAAAAAAAAACAGTATGTATGCGTGTGCAAGATACAGCACACTCCGCCATACAGTTTATCAATAAAACAGATTATTGCACTTAGTCCAGGAAATGACCTTGGATGTAGCTGTCCATCGCTCACGACCTTGGAAATTTCTAGAGCACAAAGTGGCTTCGGTCATTGATTTTAGGGAATTCACTGCAATGAAGTTTTTATTTGATATTTTTTTTCCTTGTATTGTTGGATTATTTTTCTTCTAGTGGCACAGTCAAGTTAGTAGACTGCTGACAAGAAGTAAAATGACCTGCACAATCGCCTTGCAATAATGGAATCAGACAAACTTGCCAAGCAGCACACTCAAATAATATTCGCAGAGGGTTATATATGTGGTCAAAGGAAAAGTTTTCAATGCAGGCCTCTCCAGGATCATAGGCATCTTATAAAGTTTTATTCTGGGATCCTAAATTTAGGATGTGGTGGTAACTAACCACAATATACTGTATACAGTAAAAATTATATATATATATATATATATATATATATATATATAGATAGATAGATAGATAGACTCACCAGCAAATTTATTAGGTACACCTGTTCAATTGCTTGGTATCACAAGTTGCTAATCAGCCAATCACATGACAGTAACTCAACGCTTTTAGGCATCTAGGTCATGGTGAAGACGACTTTGCTGAACCTCAAAACGAGCATCAGAATGAGGAAGAAAGGGGATTTAAGTGACTTTGAAAGTGGCATGGTTGTTGGTGCCAGACAGGCTGGTCTGAGTATTTCAAAAACTGCTGATCCACTGGGATTGGTTGCTGCGACATTCAGATGGTTAGGTCAGAATTTGGCGGAAAACAACATGAAAGCATGGATCCATCCTTGTGTTGTATCAACGGTTCAGGCTGGTGGTGGTGTAATGGTGTGGGGGAGATTTTCTTGGTACTAGCAAGGTGTACCTAATAAAGTGGCCAGTGAGTGTATATTTTGTGTGTATGTGTGTGTGTATGTATATGTATATATATATATATTTATATAAATAATATTTTGTTTGGTTTTTTTTCCTCCCTCTGTAATACAGGGATGTTTAATTTGTGAACAATCTCACCACAGATCACTTCATTCTTTCAAAAAAAAAAAAAAAAATATACCACTTACATCAACTTATAAAGACTGGAGGTGGGGAAATTGTGTGGCCTATAGCGGCAATATAACTGTATGCAACTCCTACTGTTCTAGTTCAGGTTAATTTATTGAGCACAACCTGAATGGAGTTTGCATGTTCTCCCTGTGCCTGCGTGGGTTTCCTCTGGGTACTCCAGTGTCCTCCCACACTCCAAATACATGCT